GAGTATTCTGAATTTGATTGTGTGCTCGTACTTACTTTTACCAGTGAGTTTTATATTTTCTTTTTTTTTTTTTTTGAGCCATTATTTCGCTCTTGTTGCCCAGGCTGGAGTGCAATGGCACCATCTCGGCTCACTGCAGCCTTTGTCTCCCAGGTTCAAGCAATTCTCCTGCCTCACCCTCCCACGTAGCTGGGATTACAGGCATGCACCCTCATGCCCAGATAATTTTGTATTTTTAGTAGAGGCAGGGTTTCACCATGTTGGTCAGGCTGGTCTTGAACTCCTGACCTCAGGTGATGCACCCACCTTGGCCTCCCAAAGTGCTGGGGCTAGAGGCATGAGCCACCGCACCCAGCCTATACTTTCATATATATTTGTGTTACCAAATAGTGTCTCTTGCTCTTTGCTTGAAGAACACCCTTGAGCATTTCTTATAAGACAGATCTTGTGGGGATAAACTCCTTTAGCTTTTGTTTATCTGGCAGAGTCTTTGTTTTTTCCTTGTTTCTGAAGGAGAGCTTTGCCACCTACAATATTCTTGGTTGACCTTTTTTTTTTTTTTTTTTTTTTTTTTGGTTTTCCATAAGCACTTTGAATGTATTATCCCACTCTCTTCTGGCATTTAAAGTTTCTGCTGATAAATCTGTTAGAACTCCCTTACATGTGATGTGCTTATTTTCTTTTGCTCTTTCCAGTATCCTCTCTGTCTTTGATTTTTGATAGTTTGATTATTATTTTGATGTAGTCTTTTTTGAGTTCAGTTTGTTTGGAGGTTTGACTTCCTATATCCAGATTATACCCGGATATTTATAACTTTCCCCAGATTTGTATAGTTTCCTGCTGTTATTTCTTTAAACTTTCTATCCTTTTGTCTCTCTCTCTCTCCTCCTTCTTGAACTTCAGTTCCCATAAATTCCATAAGCTGCCCCATAAACCCCATAAGCTTTATTTCTTTTCATTCTTTTCTCTCTTTTCTCACCCAATTGTATATTGTCAAATAATCTGTCTTCAAATTCACAGGTTCATTCTTCTGCTCAGTCAGTTCTGCTGTTCATACTTTCTGTTGCATTTTTCATTTCATTTCTTGTATTTTTCAGCTGTAGAATTTGTTTGATTTTTTAAATATAATTTCAATCTCTTGTAAATTTTTAAATTATTTATTGTTTTCCTTTAATTGTTTATCTGTATTTTCTTGAAGTTTACTGAGTTTCCTTAAACAGTTATCTTGAATTCTTTGTCAGGCAGTTCATGTGTCTTCATTTTTCTTTTCTTTTTCTTTTCTTTTCTTCTTTTTTTGAGACAGAGTTTCGCTCTTTTTGCCCTGGCTGGAGTGCAATGGCATGATCTTGGCTCAATGCAACCTCTGCCTCCTGGGTTCAAACAGTTCTCCTTCTTCAGCCTCTCAAGTAGCTGGGATTACAGGCACCTGTCACCACCACTGGCTAATTTTTTGTATTTTTAGTAGAGACAGGGTTTCACTATGTTGGCCAAGCTGGTTCTGAACTCCTGACCTCAGGTAATCCAGCTGCCCCAGCCTCTTAAAGTGTTAGGATTACAGGCGTGAGCCACCTTGCCTGGCTGTGTCTTCATTTCTTTAAGGTCTGCTCCTGGTGTTCTATTTTGTTCATTGGTGGCAACATGTTTCCCTGATTGTTCTTGATCTTCATGGCTATGCATTGGTGTCTGTGCATTTAAAGAAGCAAGGACTTATGCTGGTCAATGGTTTTTGCATACTGGCTTTGTCTGGAAAAGCCATTCACCAGTCAGGCTGTCCAGAGATTCTGGGTAGGCCATTTGGTGTGATCTGCAGATGGCCTTGCTGCTAGAGTCCTTAGGCAGGGTGGCCCGGCACTGAGTCTGTGGGTTGGTGTTGAAGCCCAGATCTGCTGGGATATACCTGTTGGATCCTCAGGCATAGACTTGGAGCTTTTATCTTGTGCAGAGAGGCTGTCCTGAAGCCTAGGTCCACAAGGGCTGACCTGGGGCTGGACTGGGCCTTGAGCCTGTATCTTCAGAGATTGGCCAGGTGCTAGAATTAACCTGGTGCCTGGGTCCACTGAGATGGGACTGGAGGCTAGGTCCATAAGGGCCAGCCTGGGTCCTAGGGCCACAGGCCCCAGCCTAGAACCTAGGTCCATAGAGACAGTCCTGGGGTTCTGAGGGCCAGCCCAATGCTGGGGTTTACCGGGCTGGCCTAGACCCAGGGTTCTGCTGGACTGTAGAAATGCAGGGGCCAGCCTTAAGCAGGTCATCATAGAGACTAGCCTGGCACTGGGCAGGCCTGGAGCCTGTGTCTGCAAGTGCCGGCCTAGTACTTGAATTTGGGGTGCCAATTTGGCGCTGGGGCTATGTGGGCAGACCTGGCTCTGGTTTTATCTGGAACCTGGGGTGGGACTGGATTCTGGGGCCATAGCTGCTGGCCTGATGCTGGGTGGGTCCAGAGTCTGTATCTGTAGGGGCCAGCATGGAGCCTGGGTCTGTGGGTGCAGACATTATAACTAGGGATGCAGAGCTGGCCTGAGGCCTGGTGTTGAGGTGGGCTGAGGGCCTGAGTCTGGGTGGCCTTTCCTCTTAAAGCAGATAGTCATGAAAATTCAAAGGTAAGCTTTGTTCTAGGTGTGGGAAGGCAGGGACATGCCATCAAATGGACTTCTTTAAAGCATTCAGTGGCTGGGAGCTGACTAGCAAGCAGCTTCTCCAGCCCCTATCCCTGACTATGGAGGCTGAGGGTCCTGGGTAGCCAAGCTCCACTTTACCTAGCATTCCATCCACAGTAAGTTAAGCCTTGGAAATAAAGATTGCATTGGCCAGGTTCTTAACACAGTACTGTGAGTGTGGTGAGGGTGTGATAAGATGGACAGTCTTTACATCACTGGTAGGATTGAAAATTTATACTACTTTTCTGGAAAGTAATTTGGCAGAGTATTAAAAAGGCTTTTTAAATGTCCATTCCTTTCGGTCTAGTTTTCATATTTATAGAAGTCTATCTTAAAGAATTAGGGAAGTGGACATAGATTTATATTCAGAGATCTTCTATACTACTTATAATAGGGGAAAATTGGAAAGAATCTAAATGCCTTAGAAAAGAGGAATAGTAAATCATGTCAGTTATGTAGGTATATGATGAGATATTTTGCAGCCAACTTTCAAATGCCTAATGACATCGAGAGATGCTCATCATACAAAGTTGAATGAAAAACATCAGGATGTAACCTTTTATACACAAATATGATCCTCCTTTTAAAAAAAGGGGAATAAGAAAATACATGTTGGCCGGGCACAGTGGCTCATGCCTGTAATCCCAACACTTTGGGAGACTGAGGTGGTGGATCACCTGAGATCAAGAGTTTGAGACCAGCCTCGCCAACATGGTGAAACCCTATCTTTACTAAAAATACAAAAATTAGCCGGGCATGGTGGCATGCACCTGTAATCCTAGCTGCTCGGGAGGCTGAGGCAGGAAAATTGCTTGAACCCAGAAGGCAAAGGTTGCAGTGAGCTGAGATTGCACCACAGCACTCCAGCCTGGGCGCCAGAGCAAGACTCCATCTCAAAAAAAGAAAAGAAAAGAAAAGAAAATACATGTTTATATATGGTAAAAAGGGCAGAAAAAAACATGTTATTATGAGTGATGGTATTCTAGGTGATTTGTGTTTTCTTTTTTTTTTTTTTTTTTTTTGATACGGAGTTTCGCTATTGTTACCCAGGCTGGAGTGCAATGGTGCGATCTTGGCGCACTGCAACCTCCACCTCCTGGGTTCAGGCAATTCTCCTGCCTCAGCCTCCTGAGTAGCTGGGATTACAGGCACGCACGACCATGCCCAGCTAATTTTGTGTATTTTTAGTAGAGACGGGGTTTCACCATGTTGACCAGGATGGTCTTGATCTCTTGACCTCGTGATCCACCCGCCTCGGCCTCCCAAAGTGCTGGGATTACAGACTTGAGCCACCGTGCCCGGCTGTGTTTTCTTTTTTAAAAAAAGAATTTCATTTTTCAAATTTTCTGCAAGTGAGTCTATATTTTTATAGTCAGAAAAACCAGTAAATGTAGAAATGTCTCCACACACCCTACATTGCACCAAAAAAGACTGTTATTTGTCACAATTTGTAGGCAAAAAGTGGTTTATGTTAGGGTTGAATTTGCCAATTACCATAATGGACAAATGGGTTCTGAATCCTCGAGCTTTCTGCATTGTATCGTATTCACGGCTGCTGGTGCCAGTACTGACTGGTGTGTGAGCTCCAACATGGCCCATCTGCTGCTCAGGCTTGCTTGGCTGACACAGATTTATTTCATTTTGTTCCTTAATTTGGCAACATTTTCTCTTTTCTCATTATCCTTGCCGGGATTCAGTACCACTGTTACTCATTTTGTTTACCAGTATGTTGTTTTCTTTTGTTCCGTTTTGTGAAGACGAGAAAGCCAACAACAGGAATTCTGTCTTCTGAAAGTTCAGTGCTTGTCCTTCGGGATCTTGGGCATGTCTTGCTAAAGTGCTCTCTATTTCTGACACTTGCAAGCCATTTCAATTGTTTTGATAAATAGAAAGCTTCATGGTGTATTTTTTGAAGAGCTTAGCATTCCTTTCCTCTCCTCCCTTCCCCAAGGAAGATTTGGAAATGGTTCCAAATAGAAATTATAAACATTAGCCTGGAGCTGTGCTCTCTCCATCTGGTATTTGATGCTTTTTTTTTTTAAACTAAAGGCTCATGTTGTTTGTTTAATCTTCATCAGTACTGCAAAAACACGTGGTATGAGACTTAACTGTGCCCCAAGCACCCTACACATAAGAAGGGATTTTCAGCATTGGGATAGTCAGCCAGATTGCTAAGAATTTGCTCAAGTGAAACTTTAGAACTATTGGAATCGTCTTAAGAGATTTCTTGAATGGATTTGTTAGGATAGGATGGCTGCTGCCTGAGAATCCTCTTTGAACCTGACACTTCATTTTTTTTGAGGAGACATTCTTTTTAAGACTTTGTGCTACTTTTCTCTCTAGGTTACCCTGAAGAGACTTACCCAATTTATGACCTTTCAGACTGTATCAAGCGTAGGCAAAAAACAATCTTGGTGGATTACCCTGACCCAAAAGAGCTTTCTGCTGAAGAAATAGCTGAAAGAATCGGAGTGATAGAAGAGGAAGAATCAGACCATTTGGGTTGGGAAGGTCTGCCCACTGACCCCAGAGCCCATGAAGATAATTCTGTTACCTCGTGTGATCCAAAGCCAGAAACATGTTCCTGCTGTTTTCATGAAGATGAGGATCCTGCTGTCTTGGCAGAGAATGCTGGATTCAATGCAGATAGCTACCCTGAGCAAGAGGAAATCACCAAAGAAGAATGGCCCCAAGACTTTAGAGATGAAGGGCTGGGCATCAGCACCGATCAAGCATATACAGGCAGCATACTGAGGAGGCGTAACCCCCAGGGTTTAGAGTGAAAACAGCCAGTTTGAAGTATCCATTACTCAAGTCCCAAGGTGACCTTTCTCTCTTCAGATTTCCTTCTTGGCCCTGTGCCCTGTACTGTCTTCACTGTGTTCAAGTGTCATAGCTATCAGGCCACTATCATGGATATCATGTATCCTTCCTGGTGCTCACACACCTGTCACCTTGTAAAACATGGACATTAGTGTGAACACAGGACAGCTTCGCTGTTTCTCTTCCTGCCTTTCCCTATCAGAGAAATTGATCCATTAAGTAATTATGTTTGGTCTGTCGTAATTACAGATGGGACCACTCAGGGGCAAAGGTCTGACTCTTCCTGGTAGGTGTAACAGATAGCTTGCCTGTGATTGAACATCAGCTTACAGATGATGAGGACTTAAGGTTGCAAGAATGAAGATTTCAGACTCCAGGATGCCTTATCTTTGGCCCTTGAGCAGGTTAGTAGTCCCATGCGGAGAAGAGAACATTTTATTGGTGGGGCTGATGGGCCCAGAGCAGGGTAAAACTGCTGTCTGAGCTGAAGCCTCTTCCTTGCAGTGAGGGTCTTCCTGGGAGCATTGATGCTGCCTCAGACATCCTCTTTTCTTCAGAGTAGGAAAGACTCCCACTGATCTGAGAATGAACCCAGAGGCTTGTTTGGGGACTGTTTTACTCTGATATTACCTGAATCTCTAGCTTCCTTTACCCTTGTTCTGCATAACAGAACTGCCAAGCCCAGAAATACCTTTGCACTCCTGGTTTTCAGTGGACATAGAAAGTTTTAGAGACTTTAGACCAGGGGTCCCCAAACTTTTTACACAGGTGGCCAGTTCACCGTCCCTCAGACCGTTGGAGGGCCGCCACATACTGTGCTTCTCTCACTGACCACCAATGAAAGAGGTACCCCTTCCTGAAGTGCGGCGGGGGGCCGGATAAATGGCCTCAGGGGGCCGCATGTGGCCCGTGGGCCGTAGTTTGGGGATGCCTGCTTTAGACCCTGCCCTTGCAGAGTCAAGACTAGAGGCCACTGAAGCTTCAGGAAGCCCTGCCCAGGGATGGTTCTGCCATGAGAAGCTCAGAAGGCCAGGAAGCCAGCAATAGGGGAGAGAATCTGTGCACTCATGGGAAGTCCTTACCTAAAGCTGTTTCTGAATGTTGCACCCTTCGAAAAATTTGTTCTCAGAACCCATAAATTGAAACAGAAATGAGGACTGATCTTGTATACAAAATGCCAACTCAACAGGGAAGGAGTGTGTCTGTTGCAGAGAGCCGATATAGCACTGCCCAGGCTAAGAGACCATATGTTCCATATTCGGATATTTGGTTGAGTCTTTTGAGAGAGCTAGGGAAAGTAGCAACTAGATCAGGACTGGGAGGATTTTGACCAAACTAAAGGCCTTTTTCTCCTTACTGCATCTGATGTTTGTCTTCTTGAGACAAGCTAGCTAGCACTCATGATTTATAACATGAAGTATGTGTGAATTCAGTTTATGTGTAAGACCTGAGTTTGAAGAGAGCACATTCCTAAAGACATTCCCAGTCATGAAATGTAGAAGACTGAAAAATTTAGACATTATGTAAAGGTAGATATGACTTTTAGAGTTCCATTATGCTTGGCATGAATAAGATGCCAGGAAAATAGTTTAAAATCACACATATAAGCATACAGACTGCTGTCAGAAGGTATGGAATCATATTAAGATAACCTGTCAGCTACTACTAGGCATTTATTGTTAATTAGTTACAGAGAAAAGTCATTGAAGATTGAATTTATAGAAAGTATATTGCGTCTATCTCTGTGTAGAACATTTGATTCACGTTGTAAAGAATGCAGTTTAAAATGTACTGAATGCAATCTAGATGTATTGTACACTAAAGGTAAAAAATAACAGGTGCTCTTTACTGTTTCGATAGATTGTTTTCTGTATTATTTCTCTTCATTCACTATGAGGGGTTGATTTAAGAGGAGAGCCTTGGGTTCCTGGCTCAGATTTCTTTTTTGCCTTAGGATATGATTCCCTTACTAGAGACAAATACTTCTATTTTCTTCTAATTCCTTCATCCATTTAGCAGTCAGGGGCTCAGTGCTAGGTACTGGGAACAGAGGCTCAATTTCTACCCTCAAAAGACTGAATATATTGAGAGAGCCTGACAGATAAAATGAACTATAACCCTATAAGAGGGCTCAAGATTGTGAATTCTGCAGGCAGAGAAACGTGAGCCATGATTTGTCCCTATATCTTCTAGCTGTGGAATCTTGGGTCAGCCCCTTAACCGGTCTGAGCTTTGGCTTCTGGGTGGTAAAGGGAGGGATGGTCAAATGAACTCATCAGTGCATGTCAAACAGCACTGGTTTCTAGCTCATACATGATAACCACTCATGAAGTGGTAGTTATGTTTTTATTATAAGGGCTATGCTATAATTCAGACATGGGCCCAAAACTACAAGAAAGAGAACTTGTTTTTGCTACTTCCAAGACACTTCACAGTTTCTTGGGAGGTGGGCCTTCAGACAGGTTAAGAACTTCTCCAGGTGGGCAAAGAAGAGAGGACATTCTTGGCAGAAAGAGTTGTTGAAAAAAGCAGTTGGATGTGAACATACATGGATGTTCAAGTATTTTGATGAGGCTGTTATGTAAAGTGTTGTTAGTCTTTGGGGAAAATTGGCTTATGGAAATTCCTGCCAGAAGTACTAAGCCCTTACGATGGTTCTTCCTGCCCTGGCTCTTGGTTGGTTTATATATAAGGAATATGTTTGTGTATTTATATATCAGACATTTTGGTGTACCTTTCAGTCATTCAGGATTTAGACAGTTCTTTTTGGATTTTCCAGAATTATTTTATCTTTTAGGGATGAGTTATATGTGTGTATACAACCCAGGATGACAAAAATCATGGGACTGTTTTTTTGTTGCCAAGGCTGCCATCTCTTTCCCGCGGTCTTCATTTCTGACAACGAGGGGAGGGGGGCACTTGTCCTTTGGGCACTATAGCAGAGTACACAAGTCATACCTCTATGGACAGTTATCTCACAAAACAACTGCATAATCTGGGATCATTCTTGGTAAATCAGGTGGGTGGTACAGCCAGGAGATCCCCTTTCCTGGTCACGACAGGAGCACGAAGAAACCATTTCATTATCTCCATGACTAGCTCCAGAAGCTGAGCCCAGGGAGGTGTGCTGAGGAGTGGAGGTGTATTTGGTCTGTAGAAGCAATGGCTTTTGAGAACCGTACTCTGCACCTTATATGGTTTGGGTGACGAAATAACTTATGGTCCAAATTGAAACACTTTGGAAACAGGGAGCTTTAATAAAAATTAAGCCAAGGTAACAGGCATAAACTAAGACTATCCTGAACATATGGTCACCCCTGTCTATGGCCATTTAAGATTTTTCAACCTGACTAAACAAAACCCTCTTTCCTTTGTAGAATATCCTGTATACGCTATTTCCCGCCAGAGGCAGAGGCCACAGGAGATAGGCCATGTTCAGGTAGGAAACACTCTTGGTCACATCAGAACTCTAGATCTGGGGGGTAAACAAACTCTATTTATTACCACACTCTAAGTTTCCTTCAATCCGGACTATTTGTATTCCAAAGAAAAATTCAGTACTTCAGCTATTCAGCAATACTGAGAAAAAACATGAACACATCTATGACTTTGCCTTGACCACTGACTTTTCTAAAATGTGCTTCCTTTTCTTTCCCTTTTTTTACACAAAGAAAACAAACCAAATTTCTCCTCTTAGGTCATTCCTTAACTTCTGAGAGAACTAGTTTCTCCATGAATTGGGAATGATGCTGTCTTTCCAGGGCTGTATGGATTAAATAAGATGCTTTTTATAAAGTGTCTGTGCCAGGGTGAAGCATGTGGTAGGTGCTTGGTGACATCAAGTCCTGTGTTGCTGAGATGTCACACCTGACATGCTCTAAGGCTACCCGGACTGCCAGGAATGGCCCAGGGCCATTCTGCAGTCTCTGGGTGCCTTTAGTGGTAACTTCCTCTCTGGGTCAGACCATTAGTTTTCATGTCTGCTTCTACCTACCACTGTAGCTTCCCTTCCTTTTGGCTTCAAATCTGCCACAGCTGCCCTGCAACAAAAAAGATTCCTAAGCATGTCTAAGTCCTGTTTAAATGGGTTAGGCTCCAAGCAGGCCCACAGAGTACTTAAGTTAGAGCAGTTCTCTTCAGGGTCTCCTGTGCCACCTGAAGGAGTGGGCCTGGTTGGATCTTTTATACATTTTTTCTCTCTGCAGACGGCCCTGTTCTGTTCCTAAGGCCAGGCCTACTCCTTCAGGTGGCACAGCAGACCCTGAAGAGAACTGCTCTAACTTAAGTACTTTGTGCCTTCACCATTTTCCTACCCTCTGGGTGCGGTTCTGATGAACCTTAAATTTGAAAGGCACAGCCAGAGGGAGGTCAGTGTTGACCTCCATGTCATTGGTGAGGTTATGATAACTCTTTGCTATTACCACCCATCTACCCACCTGAGGCTCCTAGGAAACAGTGAGTGAAGGGTAGAGAAAAAAACTTTGAGGAACAGAAGTGTTGAAACAGTTCAAGTTTAATGTATTGATATATGTCTGTACTTAGACAAACACTAAATTCTACAACATACATAATGTCAACATGGGAAAATACCAAGTTTGTCATTGCACATACCAATAAATAAATACATTTGCTCCAGAATACCAAAGAAGTTTATTCAAAAATTCACTTAATAAAAGCACAGATTTTTCTAAAACTCCAGATAATCTTGAACAAAAATAAAATGTCTGACCACTCCAAAATAGGAAAAGACAATCTTGTGCAAACAGACATACACATTCTAGGCATTGTGAAAACTGGCTATGTGTTCCCAGCAAGAAACTTCACCCCTCCTGACCAGCAGTCAGGCTTCCCTTTCCTAGTCATTCTAAGTTGCCTTCTAGGAAACTCTGGATCTCAGCCTCTTCTCCAGCTTTGCCTGGACCTTGCTAGGGAGAGGGAGGGACAGGAGCACAGAGAAGGAGAGGGATGTGATGTCTTTCTTAGGAAAGAAAAAAGGCACAGTGATGAGCTATAAAGGTAGTAATGAAAGCAAAGAGTAACTTTCATTCACTCCAAATCCTACGGCAAGCTTTGACAATGTAACATCTTCATCTTGCGGTTAAGAAAATGGACCTAGAAAGATTATGTGGATTGCTCAAAATCACATAGCTACTAAGTGCAGTAGTGCATTCTGTAAGACCAACTTGCCTCTTCACTTGGTTGGAAAATTTAAAAACCAAACCTGTCATAATATGTCTGTTCTGCCCCTCCCCGCTGTGTCCCGAGATGACAGAAGATTCCAGGTGGCCATAAACTCAAACAAGAGCCCAGCTCTTGGCCTGTTACTGATGGCTACTACAAGCCCACAGACCAGAGCCCCAGGTAGTATAGTGTCCCAACTCTGGGCCCTAACTACAGGTCATTCAGGTCCCAGTCTCAGTGAAAGCAGACTCATTCAGCTATGTGGAGAAGTGTATTCAGGACCACTTGGCAACCTGAGTTGACACAGGGATGCCGCAGCTGGCATAAGGAATTAGAAAAGAGAAGGCCAGTGTTACTGCAGTAGGAGAAAACCAGGAAGTCCATCTAGGAGATGGAATTTGTGCTTGCATAACAGAGCCATGGAAATGGCTATCCCAGCATCTCCCCTCACTGCAGACTCCATTGTAAGCAAAGCATGGACCTTTTTCTTTGAAATCAACCCTGCCACTTGTTAAATTTAGAACTACCTCTAAATGCTAAGTTTATTTAAGAGGTAAATGTCCTGCTATTTTCAGAATGAGGGAAAAAAAAAGTTCTTCTTTTATAATTTTGTGTCCTACTTGTCACTGAAGGAGGCAGGCTCCAAAAGTTCTCTTACAGCTTCTGATTATCACAGTCCTGGCTTCCAACACCTGTCTTCACCACAGGTCTGGACCTTATGTGCTTCCTCTGAACTAGTGTCGTGATTTTTAAGGCACATTCACTAGAATATGTTCCATTTCATCCATATGTGCAACATACCAATTTCTTCAGGCAATGGAGAGAGGGAACTGAAAAGCTAACACCTTTCTTAGATGGTGTCCTCTCAGAACCCTGAGAGAAAAAGCTGGTATTTTCCCAGGTATACCTTCTGTTCAAAGAGCATGAAATGAATGGACAAAATCCACAGGCGATCATAACAACATCCTTATTCCTTTCCTACTCATTTCTTAGCAATATGATCACAATTAAGAAACCTCAGTTGATTACTGATTGCCCTTTTCCCCAGTATACACAGAGACACGCAGACACACACATACACAGACGGACACAGAGCACCTTGGAGCCAGAAGGGAAAGAAAAGCTAGACTTGGAGAAGAGTTGGGGAAGTGAGCTTCACCACTCTGCAGAACAGTTTGGGGGCAGAGGGTGTAGAGTTTGGGGTGTGGTCCCAGGAGCAGTTAGAGAAAAGCTGCCTAAGGTCCCAACTGCCCAATACAGTTAGGGACTGCTCATTCTGTCATTGATTCCCTGCCCAATCAAGGACCATCCATCCAGGTAGAAGGTATGAAGGGCCCAAGAACTCTGTCAGAGACTGAACCCAGGTGGTTTCCAGGGGCCCTAGAGCAGCTTTAGGAGTACTTGTGCCCATGGCCCACGGCCAGTGGTCAAGGAAAACCAGCATTTCCAGGAGTGCACTCAGCTGCGGATGCCTGTCACTCAATGCCTGACAAGAGTTTTGTGGCTGAGGCTACCGTTCTCCACACTCAGTCTAGAAAGCTCAGCCCATGTTTCCTGACCCCACCAAAAGATCCAGCCAGCTCCCTCTTCCGTATGCTACAGGCGAAAGCAGAGGCCAAGAGTTTTCCTTTGTGCTTCTTCTTTTTCCACTGCTACCAAGGTCTCTGTCTCACCAGAACTCAGAACCAGCCTGTTCTATCTTAAAATCACAAATCCAGAGAAATAGCTTGACCAAACATTAGAGATGACCTAGTATCCATCATCTCAAATGTCACAATGCAGATCTCTTCTCCTTAAAGGTAGGGAAGGAGGGGCTAAACTGGAACTGTAGAAAGGAGGATGGCACCATGATGTTTCACCAGCCCTGGCACAGAAGGTTCTAATGCGCTCTAGAAACTGGACCATGTTGCAAAAGTGAATCATTGGAGGTGCCTCTCACAGAGATGTATGGCTGAGGCGTGGGAAGATCCTGCTAGAACAGGTATGCCTTGCTTTAAGCATTCAACATAGGAAACTCTAGATTACAAAGAAATGATAGCATACTACTTCTACTTAAGTCAAAACAAGTCCTTCACCTATAAAGCCTACCATGTTTAAAATACAACTTTTATTTTTAAAAATTAATTTCTGCTTAGCTCTTCCAAACATATCTACTCTAAAGCAAGGTTCAGTTCCTGCTTGTTTCCCACTGATTCCTGATCTCTGTCTGGGCAAGAAGCTTCCACCAGGGTAAATGACAAATGAGCAAGAGCTCGAGCTTCGAGTTCCCAAGCCTGCACGGTGGATAGTGCCATCCAAGGAGAAACAGCAGTGGCAGTGGAGGGAGTAATCGGGCCCAGCCCCAAAACCTTTATGCACTCTCTCTCACCTAAACTGAGAAGCGTGCCGCAGCCTTACTAAAGCCTGCCCACCGCTGAGCAGTCCTCACGGAGGGGCCAGACACAGGCCAATCCTGGATCATACTTGTGCAAAAAACCAACTTTCAACAGGGAACTGCCTGAATTCCTACTGGAATGGTATCAATCTTATGTATCAACTCTGATGTTTCTAAGTCTCTGGAATCAGGGGAAGTGGGGAGGGCATGCAGAATGGGCCCCAGGAGGCTAGAGACCCAGAGACACTAGTTTCTTGGGGGACAGTGGGAACAAAGAAATCAAGAGAACCAGAGGTTGTGAATGCTGTCATTAACCAGCTAGGTGACCCAGGGCAAGCCCTGTTTTCTGAGAGTGATTCACCTAAAGCAGTAAGGTTGTACTAGCTGATCCCTAAGGGTTCTGCCACTACTGATCTCTTGTGGTTCTAAAATAGTCCTTGCTTTATTCACCCTGTCCCATTTCCTCCCAAGAACCACACTCAGAAGGTTTTACCAACCATGACTTGGCTGACAGCAGTGAGAGTTGGGTCTTTCCAGAGAGAGAGAGAGAGGAGATTCTTCTAGGAGCACATCATGGCTTGGGAATGGTTCTCTGCCAGCAGGATCCCCAGGCATGCCTAGCTGTGTGCAGTCAGGCTGGTGACCTTGACCCCATCTGTGTTTCCTTGGGGTTGTGCTGGGCTGCTAAGCAGAGAGGTCCTGGGGCAGCTGACAGGACTCCCAGAACAACCCTGATCCAGAGACCCTGTTCATGCACTTCTGCATGATGACCCTGCGTCCTGCAGGGCCCATCTACTAAGACAGTCAGCCTTGACATCTGGGTCCCTGCTGCCTCTGAGACAGAGCGAACCTGGAGAAACGAAATGTGCTAGAACCCTAGCTACCAGCTGATTCCCACAGCCACAGTGAGCCAGGACCCTCCAGTCCTGACAGGGCCCGGCTCGGAAACCAAGCCCTTTGCTACATAAAGTGGATGTGGCCTTCATACATACACACACTCACTGTGCCCCTACCTGCTGGGGTACCCGTTGCCATCTGACTCCTTGGCTGAGCGGATGACTGGGCCACAGCAGCCCTGCATTGTGCTTCCTCTCCCTCTATGCCTCTTCCGGCCTTCCCAGCCGAAAAGGTTGCTCAGCTTGGTAAGCACGACTGCAACACACTACCCCAAGGGTTGGGGTGTGTGTTGATCTCGGGGCACAGAAAGATTACTCTCGTCCCTTCACACCCACCCACCCGCTCTCCACTGCTCCCCTGCCTCAGCAGCAGAGGCAAAGGAGCCAGTTCCTGGCTGGCTGGGCCAGGGAGCCCACTGAGGGCCAAAGCTTCATCTGGCAGAAGGCCTATATACAGAGGGTAGGCAGGGCTGTCTCCATAGCAGGCAGGCAGGCAAGCTCCGCTCCAGGCTGGGCAACCCCAAAGGGCACGAAGAGGCCTCTACTCGCACGCCAGCTTGCTGTCGAAGCTGGACAGGGCAATGGCAAAGGCCTGCAGCGCACACAGCGGGTAGTTGTAATCCATGGTGAACACATCCTCTGCTACCCGGCCAAACTGCATCACGATGTAGTCCGCTGGGGCCAAGCACAGGCACAGACAGAGAAAAGGACAGACACACACCCAAACCACATGAGGGAAGAGAAAGTGAGAAGCGGAGATGCCAAGGGAATTACAAAGGAAGTAAAACAAACGCCAATTGGGAGAAGTGGCAGGAAAGAGGAAGCAGATAGCAAAGGAGAAAGTGATGTGAACACCAGGGGACAGAGAAGAGGAGGAAAAGTCCTTTTAAAGGGTGTTCCCATGCCTGAGACTCTGCTGAATACAGAATCTAGGACCAGGGCTCCAAAGAAGGTTCTTCCAGGACCTCCCAGTCATTAAGGTTAGAAAGTTCCATACATCTAACCTAAGCTGTATAGCTCACATTCTTCAACTGTAGCCAGTGGGCAGGGCTAGGTGGGGTGCACCCTACACTAAGGGCCTTGGGCATCATATGGACCATAATGAGTAGGGACAGAAACACTCACGGTCATTGCCATGGATGATCTGGAAGTTCTTCACGGAGGCCTGTGTGACACGCCCATGGAAGTTGAGTACGTAGGACTGTGTGTCATCATTCCAGACAGGCGTCTTATTTTGCAGCTCGATGATACTCTCGGTGTTCTTATTCTGCCAGCGTGCTAGCAGTGTCTCATGCTCCTGGGAGGGCAGCCTCACCTGAGCCAGGCCCAGGCCTTTGGCACCATGACCACCCCAAAGAGGGATCTGTCCCAGGAATGTGGGTCCTAGACTTCCCTAGACCCCCAGGGCTTTCTCACATGGTATTCCCTCTACATATACACATCTGCTGGAGTTCTGCCCTTAGAAGCTCATGCAGAGACCAGGATCATGGGGAAAGAAGGGAGGGAGGAATAGAGACTCACGTTGCGGGGGCGGATAGAGACTCTCTCATGAACCATGTTCATGCCTGGGACAATCACGCTCATCTTCCGAGGCCCCTTGAAGCCTAAGACGTTTGTCTCCTGGGAAAGAGAACGCAACACTGGCCACCTGAGGCGTCTACTGACCTACTGGAGAAGGTGAGGGGATGGGAATAAAGATGAAAAGCTCGTTCCCACCATCTCCACTCCAAAGTCTAACATGCACCTCTAAACCTAACATGGGCAGAACCGAGCTCCTGGGTCTCTATCTGCCAGAACTAGCTTCTTTTATACGTCATCCTTGCTCCCATTTATGGCAATGCAATTCTTCCACTTGCTCTGGCAAATTACTTGGTCACACTTGAGTCCTCTCTTCCACATCTTACTTCTAATCCATCAGCAGTTTCTATCGGCTCTGCCTTCAAATTATACCCAGAACTCCACCACTTTTCACCACTAGGTTCTTTCACCAAGATCACTGTAACAGCCTTTATCTGGACTTGTTCTGTTGTTGGCCCTCCTACTCCTCCTTCCCATCATCTGTTCTCAACACAACAGCCAGTGCTCAGGCATATTAAGTCAGATTATCTTTCTCCTCTGCTTAAAAACCCTTCAGTGGCTCCCCAGCTCACTCTGAGTAAAAGCTAAAGATGTGACTTTACCTGAACATGGCCCCATGGTACTCTCCTTGCCATTTACTCCCTGGCATTCACTCCATTTCTTCTTCATGCCACGCACTCAGGACTTTTGCCCTGTGTCCCCTAGACATGTACACTGCTGGTTTTCACTTCCTTCTGCTCTTTACTCAAGAGCTACCTCAGTGAAGGCCTCCCTGCCATTCTTCTGAAAATCTTACACCCTGGCATTTCCTGTCCCCACTGCCTACTTTTTCTTCCTAGCATTTATAAAGAACATACTTACTTCACTGATCTGTTTCACAGCTTGTCTTCCCTACTAAGGCCTTAAGTCCCGTGAAGGTATACATTTACATCTGTTCATTACCACATCCTTAAAGTTGGGGCTCAGTAAGTACTTGAAGACTTGGGCTGCCTCACCAAAACTGGTCAGCAGGTGGCACCACGGGAACATACAAAGTAGCTGTGGATTACTGATGGCCTCCAATAAGTCCCCATGCCCAGGTTGATAAGATACCCACCCCTCATTTTAAAAAGGAAGAAACAGCTTCAAAGAGGTAGAGTGATCCCCTATATTTAAACTCCAGTTTGGTCATTTTCGAGCTGTGTGATACCTGCAGCTGAGCTTCAGTTTCCTCATCTATAAAGAAAGTGGATCTATCTCTTAGGTTGAACATTCAGTGAGAGGACAAACTGCCCTGTAATCCACGTAGAACCTGGCATACCAGAGGGATGACACGGGAATGCGCAGAAAAGAACCCAGGCCTACTGTCTCCTTCTGCCTAAGAGACTCCTGGCCTGGACTACAGAGAGCCAGGCCTGGTTTTCTGAGCTCCCCAAGCAGATGGCCGGCTGTGGTGTGAGCTCTGAAGACAGGAGGCAGAGCCAAAGCTCCTGTCCTAGGCCAGGATCACTCCACAGAGGACAGCCCCTCTCCACAGAGCCTTGTCTACCTACCAAGATGGATGGGATAGCCCCTAGATCAGTCCTGGGTTTCATATCTACCGTGGACATCAGAGACCCCGGAACCTAGGACTCACGTAGCACACAGCTGCCAGCTCCTGACGCAAAGTTCCACTTTCCAAAGTAGAGGATGAGGCCTTCTGAGGGTTGACTCCATTGTCATAGACAGTGAACTTGGTGCCCATCAAGTTGGACCTGAAATAAAGGCACAAGCAGTATAGAGTCACACACCCTGTACCCCAGAGCAGGGAACAGTTCGTCTGTCCTATGAGGAGCTTGCAAAGCATTCTGGGCTGGTCCAACAGCAGGCCCAGGGAGGCATACTGCTCACTGAATACACAGCTTTGAACACACTTTTGTGGGCAGAAGGCCTAGACTTGCTCGGAGTTGATTCAAAAGTGCATTTCAGTTCAGTGGCAGCAATTCAGGAAGGAAAATCAGGATTCTTCACACATTTATCTGGAGGAACATGGGAGTTCCCCTCATGGGAGGTGGGCAAACAGAATGGCATCTGGTAAGACAGTAGAAGGGGCTCAGCACCCATGGAGAGAAAATGAGATCTCCCCTGTGGCATCCAGCCTAAGTCTCAGTCCAGCCCCATCTCCAGCTTTAGCTCCTGACCTCCCAATCTTTATGTTCCCCAAATCTGGTACTCTGCTCCTCAGCAAACCCTCCTTCCCTATGGCCCCCACCTGGAGGCCTTTCTCAGAGCCTTCCTGCCCCTTCCCCAGCACCCCCACCCCCAAGATTGCTGTGTGTTGCTCATTCTCAGCCCTGTCCCTTGGCACTGACCATGGAGCCAAGGCAGCTCTTCCATGGTGGCCTGCATTATCAATGACACCCTGGGGTTGGATCCGTCACTCTTGGTGAACCTGTACCCACCTGCTGGGAGCAGCTTGGGGTCGGGTGTGTGAGGCCCATCTGTTAAGACAGCTTCCAGGCTGGCACAGACATAGGCCTCCAGTTGGATGTGATGATCAGGGAGGATCTGGGGTAAGCATCCATCCCTGGCCTACATCTCCTTCAGGGAGATTGAGGCCCTCTGTGGACAGCCTGCCCCTGCCCCCCTCCCACTCCTGCCTGCTTCCTGGGAGAGTGCTAGTACCGTAGTTTCCCGATATAGCTGTCCCCTCCTCGAGACAAGTCTGTTGGGTCCACAGAGATGAGGTAATTGGAAGTTTTACTCTTCTTTCTCTTCCTTCCCGCCAGGAGGAACACCTTGGGGAGTGGAACAAGATCATATTCCAGACCCAGCCTCTGGTCCGCACACGGTCATGAGTGCCACTCACACAGACTGTCTCTCCCTGAGGTCAGCACCCAAATGCACATATGTGCACACACACAAATGCACTGGCAAACATAAAATATGCACTGACCAGACACAAAGGCTGTTTCTTTGAGAAACTGAGAGGTCAGTGGTGGATGTGAGGCTTCCAGGCACATTTGAGCCCCTAGAACTCAAAGGGGCTGAAATGCCTAGAGGATAATATAGCCCCAGAACCTTACCTTCTTCCCATCCTCACGGTCCAGGTGCAGAAAGTAGGTGGGGTACATGCCCCGGTCCATCCCCTTCTTGTCCCGGGTGATGCGGCATTTGATGGTGATACCCTGGGGGGCTGGCCTCAGTGCAAACTCCTCCAGATCCTGGACCTCAACGTCTACTGGTTGCTCTGGAGCTGTTGGGCTAGGGGCTGAGGCTGCCTCCTATGGGGACGGAGAATAGGCGCCTGAGCCCCAGGGACCCTAAACATCCCAAATTGGTGGTCTGGGTTCCAAATCTGCCTCCCGATGTGGCGGTGGGAGGGAAGGATCCTGGGATGTGGGCCTGGCCAGCCTGGGCCTGGGGTCAGGAGCTATTTACCCAGCCCTGACCTCTTCTCAACAGTTCCTAGAGGTGGAAATGGGGATATGGGAAGGTCCTCAGAGGTCACCCTGTCCAACTGCAGCTCCCCCAACACTTCAGCCCGCTGGCCTAGCCGAAGAGGTTAGGAGGCTGAGTAGACAGGCATAAGAGGCCAGGAGAGACGCTCCTAAAAGGCATGAGAGTCCAGCCTCAGCCCCAGGACAGCCAGTTCCCCTTCATCTCTTCACACATGCTCTACCTCTAATTCAGATGAGCAGTCCTCCAAAAACTGCTATGGATGCAGGCTCACTCACTCACCCTGACAGACTTCCTGCTAGTAGCAGAGCTGGGGCGGGTGTTACTGTTTAGCTGGGAGGAGCTGGAGCTGTTCTCGTCCTCATCCTCCTCTTCCTCTTCAAAGCTCATGCTGCTGGAGATGCCTGAGCCAAGGAGAGAAGAAGTAGGGATCAGTGAGAACTCTGCCCCACCCATGAAATACACATGGTCACATACACACGTTCAGACACTGAGTCACTTGTGCCCACACACACGCACACTTTTACGCAGCCATATGTACACGTAAAGACTCATGTGTACACTTAACACATGTCCAAGATATACAAGGACATTCTCTCAGGTGCACACATGAACTGGGGCTGACCACAATCTTCAGGATATGTCCCCACTACCCAGTTTCAGCTCAGTCCCTACATTACCCCCTTCCTAGCAGCTACCCTGCCACTGTCTCTTGTGTATGAAGGCCTACACTGAGCTCACCTTGAACTGGGAACCTCCATGTCTGACCTCAGGCCTATTAGAGGTCTTGGCTGGCATAGGCCATGGAATCCACCAGGGCATGGGCCTCAGCTCCTTCCTCAGCGCAATGTGAGGGGTGAGGAGGGGGGTAGCACTGACTCCTCAACTTTGCCCTGAGCTTTTATCTCAGGTGTCCTCCTGCATGCCATTCCCCAGGAATGCTCAACAGCCCTTTGTACAGGAAGCCATCCTTGATTAGGTTTCTCACAATGACTGGCAGCCTTCTTCCTTCTGCCGCCCTGCACCAGGGGCTCCTTAGGGTAGGGCTTGTGGTGGGAAAACTGAGCAGCAGGTTTCTAGGGAGGATCTGCCCTGCCTCTTAGTATCCTGGCCCTGTTCCCACTAGCTCAGCAGACATATGGGAAACTTCTTGCAAAAGGAGCTTTTTTTTTTTTTTTGAAACGGAGTTTCGCTCTTGTTACCCAGCCTGGAGTGCAATGGCGCGATCTCGGCTCACCGCAACCTCCACCTCCTGGGTTCAAGCAATTCAAGGAGCTTTTTTTTAAGGAGCAAAAGGAAAAGGAAATCTGCCTCCAAATCTGGACACCCCTGGAACCTTATCAGAGGCCCTGCCTAAAAGTTTCTCATTTGTCCTTAAGTGTACCCCACCCCCACCCAACATGGCCAGGGAGGGCCTGGGACAAAGGAAGGCTATGCTCCCAAAGAAAGGTGCATCTGAGAACTTGGGACTGGGTTTTGGGGGTATCACTGGGCCCCCATGGGGCTTACCCTTCCTCTGCATCGTGGCACGGAGATCCTGCCCACTGGGCCGTTCGCACCCACCAGCTGCTGTCTCCCCTGCGTCCTGGGCGTGGTCTGACTCGCCCACAGTCAGGATCTGCACTGGGCCTTGGGCCTCAGACTTGTCTTCTGCCAGTGCTGCTGGCCCGCTGGTGCCTGCAGGCCACGGACACTCCTGAGTTACAACCAGGAGGAGAGGAGGGCCTGGATTCTCAGACATCCATCAAGGGGATGAGGGAAGAGCAGGGAAACCCTCTGCAAAACTTTATTTGCAAAACTGATTTTTATAAAACTCATGATTGCATCAGCCTGTTAACAGCTGGTAAGCTACTAAGGGTTGTGGGCTTCATTTCTTCTGCTCTTCCCTCAAATTAATTGCCATGGGTTGGTTTACAATACCTCACATCATTAAAGCAGACGGCAGCCATCTACAAAACCAACTGCACAGTGGAAAAAACAAGATGGAGAACAAGGATTGGTCCAGACCATAGCCAAGGCCATCATTCGTGGACATGGGCAGCTACAAGTGACCAATGCTGGTGTTTTCTTTCACAAATATACACATACATACACGCAGTAACTCACATCATTAGAAACACGGGGCCCCTTGAAAACGATTAAAGTTGGCATACACTCGCTTTCCCAAGTGGAGCGTGTCCCATCCCTTATCAGCCTTCCTGCCAGTTACCACGAGCTTCAGTAACAGAAGCAAGACCTGACCCACACAGGTGGCAGCCACCCTGCCTGCCTACTGAGCTATGCCCAGAATGCTCGGCCAGCTCCAGAAGCCCATGGCCCCTGACACATCACTGCCCAACCATGATGCAGTGGCTTGGAAACCACTGCCCATGAACAAAGGCTGAGGAAATGGGGTGTGTAGCCAAGAGATAGGACTTGGGGCAGGTGCCACCATCACTGTCCTTATGATCTTTAGGAGTCTTTTCTGGAGAAAGAGGAGCAGAGGGAACAGGCTGGTCTGTGGTCCAGAGGGTAGAACCTGGACTAGAGTACAGAGTCAAGGGAAGCCTGCTGAAGGAAGAGCTCATAGTGAGCACTGCACAGGGAGGGGGCAAACTGCCCGGGAGGCAGTCACCCCATTGCAGGGAGTGTCCTACTCCAGGCTAGGCGAGAGCCTCCGTGAGGGGTCATGATACAGGGTGCTCAGACCAAGGTAGCTGAGGTGGCGGACAGTGTCCTGGGCCACAGCTGAGTAGAACTTAGCTTCCTGGCAGTGTGGTGGGCCTGCCCACGCCCAGAGGCGGCCCAGGCCCCTCCCAAGCTAGATGAGGCCTGTGAGCCACGTAACGGGGGACCCAATAGCTCACAGTGGAAGTCTGCCTTTCCTGAGTCTGTGCATCCCGCCCCTCCTCTCCCAAGTCAGGAGGACAACCCTCCCCAGCCCTACAGTGAGGCCAGGCCTGCCGGGGAGGGCTGTAGAAGATGCACGCTGACCTTTGTGCTTTCCCTTCTTCTCCTTCCTAGCGGCGCCACCCTGGCCCCCTGCTGTGGCTGCTGCCTTGGTTCTCGCAGCTGAAGCTGGTGCTGTCGGGCGTGTGGCTCCCAGCTGTACACTGGCGAGTGAGTCGGCCTCTTGAACTGCTCAGAAGACAACCCCAGACAGAGAGAAACAGGTGCTGGGTGAGACCAGAGCTCCCATCTGAACACAGTACCCAGCACAGCATTTTCAGCCATACCCTGAGTCCCACCAGGGCCCCTGTACCCCTTCCACAGCCCATAGAATCAGGCCCACTCATCTCTACTAAGCAAAGATCCCAGGGCAGGCCCAGCTGGGAGGAGGCAGCGTCCCCAACCCAGGTGTGATCAAGTCAACAGCCAGATCAAGACATACGATCAGCCAAGAAGCTGAGCAATCAAAATTCTGGGCTATCAAACTGTAAGCCTGGACAGGGGCAGGGAGAATGTCCAAGGATATGGCCATTGAAGATGGTGAAGAAAGAGAGGCAGTGTCTTCTGGAAGAGACCACAACCAGGGCACGCACTCCAGGGAGTCCATGGTGGGGCTTTTCGGCGATGAGCACATGGGAGGCTGGGGTGTGGGAGTGCCCAGAACAGCAACTCTGGGAGACAAGGAGCTACACACACCAACAGGTCTCAGAAGGGTCCCAGCTGGTAGCCTCCGAATTCTCCATACTGCAGAAACCCAATCTGCTCGAAATCCTTGAATGGTTTCCAGCTGCTCTTAAGATGAAGACCAACATTCTCTCCCTTCCCCTAGGTTTAAACACATACTCCCTGCCTCGGGGGCACCAAGAGTTCCAGCCACACCAGCCTGGTCCAATGCCTCCGCCAGGCACCGCACTTGCTCTTGCCTCGGGGCTCTTGCTCCTCCTGCTGCCTGCACAGCCCCCCACCCCACACCCAGTGATCAGCTCCCAGTCATCCTGCAGATTTCAGCTTGGGTGTCACCTCCCAAGGGAAGCTGTGCCTGCCTCCCTAGTCGGAGCAGGTGTTTTCGTGGCTTCCTTCCACAAAGCACACCTGAGACCGTCTGTTTAGCATTCTCTCCCCACATAGACTGTGAGGCCCATGAAAACAGGGATCACACCCATTTGTGCTCACTTGGGACTTACGGCTTCTAATCCAGAGCCTGACACAAAGCTCAATAAATATTTAAGAAATGAATGTGTAACATGAATGAGTATAGCCAGCAGGTCAAAAACCAGGATAAACGATGAGCTCTGATGTATATCAAACGCCCTCCTTTTCCTCTTGGAATGATGCCCTGTATTTAATGCCTGTAGCCAGCAGAGGGCAGAGAGGGAGGCAGCTAATGCTGTAGGTGGGGTGGGAGTGGCCTTAGAAACACCATTTCCTGGGTCTGTCCCTGCAATATGTGCAGCAGCCTCCTCAGCGCTTCATCTAACACTTGGAGCCAGACAAGACCCCTAGAGAAGCAGTATGTACTTCGAACAAGTCAAATGTCACGTGCAAATGTCCTCTGAAAAAGGCTCTGGAGGCCTGGCCCCATCTGGAATGTCAGCAGGGAATAGCAAGCAGCTGATTTTGAACCTTGGAGCACCCCATGGCCCCTTCGAGTTCCAAATCCCTAAGACAGAGAACCTTCCCCATTTTCTAATGCAGGAAGCATATCCAGAGAGGGTAAATGACTTGCCTCCAGTCACAAGCGAGCAGTTAACGGTAGTGGCATGACCAGAAACTTTTTCTTTTCTTTTTTACTTGCTGGAGTGCAGTGGCACTGTCACAGCTGACTGCAGTCTCAAACTCCCGGCCCCAAGTGACCGTTGTACATAACTGGGACTACAGGTGCGTGCCATCACACTCTGCTAATTTTTTTTAAAGATGGGGTCTTGCTATGTTACCTAGGCTGGTCCTGAACTTCTGGCCTCAAGCGATCCTCCTGCCTTGGCCTCCCAAAGTGTTGGGACTACAAGTGTGAGCCACCTGGCACAGAAACTCTTTTGACTTCAGTCCTGCACTAACGCCAGAGGTGCTCGCTACTTGTACTGCAGTCTTTCTGACAGCCTGGTGCCATCTGGAACACAGCTGCCAAGAAATATCTGCCAAAATGACTGCACATCAGTGACCTCTCAAGATGTAAATTGGCAGGGACCACAATCCTGGGTACAGGCTCCCACTCTGTATGCAGCCTCGCTCGCCTATATGTGTGGTGCCAGCCTTGGCAGAGCTGGGGTTGTGATGCCACACAGCCATAGGCCACGCGCCAGAGGACCCAGAAGAGTAGCTGCCTTCTCGGCAGGGTACCACTGCCATCCTTAAGACGGTGTTCACAAAAGAAGTGGAGGAGATGGCTGCCAGCAAAGGGTGGGGCCGGGGCCAGCTCTGTCAGGAGCAGCTGGGGCTGCCTCTGTGAGACAGCTGGGCTGAGGTCCCTTTCCCCGCTTTTCTGAGGGCCTCTCAAGTGGAGTACAGACATACTAGGTATGGCCAAGGTGCTGAACTGAGACACACACAAGGGAATTAGCATGAAGGAGCTTTTCAACAATATGGAGAAGAGACCATTTGGCATCTGCTAGGTCTGGGTTCACCAGCAGAATACTGTGAGCAGGCCACTGGGCCCCTCGGAGCCCATGTTGCTTACGGATCATGTGGGAATAATGAGTTCCTGTGAGGATGAAACAAGATAATGCAGGTAAAGCTGCTAGCACTGTACTTAGCCACTGGCAGATGCACAGACGCCTTTTATTAGAACCACCAGAGTGGGCTTCCTCGGAGAGTATGCATGCACATAGAGGGGATCGAGCCCAGCCACAAATGGCACCAGGCAAATGGGACTCAACCACTGCTCTACAAAGCTCAGACAAAGGGCTCAGTGAGCTACGGGTCAGTGGAACCCAGAGAAGAACCTGAAATACTGTGAGGCAGGGTATGGGACCAGCAGTTAAATGAAAAAGCTTAGCCCTGAGGTGAGGCAACTACCAGTAGTTCGATGTATCTGGAGGCTCCAGGTCAGAAAGAAGCCACAGGAGGAGGGGAATCCCATGGCTGCCAAGGTTCTTACTAACCGCAAGAGCCAGATGCCTGCAACCTTCTTAGAATTACTATTTGATGAAGTAGCAGCCTGGATTACTAGCACCAGCAGGGGGCAGTGGTGACTGAGTCTGAGTCCTTTCAAGCTCAGAGAGCCCAACCCTCAAGTCTGGCCTGGCCTACTCTTAACCTAACCCACCAAGGAAGGAGAGTCCTGAGAGCAGGGATGTGCTGAAGCCATTCTCTCTCCAGGATGAGCCGCAGAGAATTTCCTCCTAGTGGGCTCTGCCGAGACCCGGAACATACAAGGATGGGAGCTGGAGGCTCCAGGTCACTACAGCAATTAAGGAGTTGTAAGCCAGAGACCGGGATCTGCAAGTCAGAAGCCAGGCAGACGCAGTGCAGAGAGGGAAGGAAACAGGTGTTTGTCCTGAGACACTGGTTGGTATGGGGCAGGACAGAGATGGATTCTTCTCAGGATGTAGAATACTGCTGGGGAACAGGCTGTTTATTCTTAGAAGCTGCCACCTGCACTCAGTGAAATGCTCTAAATCAAAACCTGGACTTCTGAACTTCCTGGCTTCATAAAAGTTTTAGCCTTCTAACCTCAGCACCTGATTCAGGAGGTGACAGCTGGAGCATACACAGGTGCCCAAGGCCACAAGTCCACCTTCCCTCTGCCCTCCCTACTCAGCTGTCTGCCTGGGCTGAAAGCCATACACAGCCTGGGCATACCCTCACCTGGACCAGCCCTCACCTGCCTAGGTTGGCAGGAAGTGAAGGGCTCCCAAAAGTCGTGACGGGATGTGGGGTGGCAGGCAGGGGGTACCTTGGTAGCTGGTGCTGCCACTGCTGCTGAGATAGGACTCCACCAGGGGCGCTTGCTCCTCCGACTGCCGGGCCCGCCGGCTCCGGGGCCGCCCATCTGCGTTGGCCTGCACCATCAGGGGCTCCTGGCGCTTCTTCTTCTGCTTCTGCTCCAGCAGGGCCCGCTGTGGAGGCACAGAGGTTGGCTGACCCACTGCCTCCACCAGGAAGGAAGGGCTCCCAGTTCTGGGGCGCCACAGCCCACCTTGGGCCAAGGCCCCATGTTCTTGGCACCCCAAGACTTGGGGTCCAGGAAAAGGAGGCAAGATGGGGCTCAGGTGGCTGCCTTGGCAGAATCCCAGCAGAGCCAGCCAGCCAGCCCTCCAACTGCAGTCACCCAGCTGCCTGAGGGGCAGAAGCCCACGTGCCACAGCAGGGTTAGTGCTAAGCTGGAAGAGAGCGTACCTCTCTTCTTCCACCTAGGAATCCCATCCCATCAGATGGGATCATCCAGGAAAGATGCACAGCCCTGCCCCTCTACCCTCAGAGATCCCAGCCCAGACTCTTCCCTTCCACCCAGCCACAGGCCCACTCACCTGCCGATCAAGCTTCTGCTGCCTCAGGTTTCTGCCCTCATCATCTAAAACACTGCAGAATGAAAGAGGGGTTTTCAGGGCTTGCCCATGAGGTGCCAGGATATATCCCAGAGCCCACCCCCAGCACATGATGGCTTCTGGGACTAAGTGAGCCCGCATGGTAGATGGAGGAAGGGTGGAGGCTGACATCTTGAAACCAGCTTGTACCAAAAGGGTTTGAGCTGCTACTTTGGAAGCCTTATAGGACCCGTTTCCCCAAGGAATCCCCAGTAAGTACAGGATGAGACCCTCCCCTCAGACCCCTAAGCAGGGCCGGGCTTCAAACAAACCCACTCTCTCCAGCTCCCTACTGGGATCTCACCAGCCTTTTCCCTGCTTTCCACCATTCTAGAGGAGGCTGCATCCTCTGGGGCAGACCCTTTCCCCATCCGTTCAAAGCAAACCCCTGGCTTTCCTGATGGGCAGAGTAGAGTGCGGACTTTGTCCACTCCCCTTCCCCACTTAAAGAGGGCAGAGGGTCCTCCTCATTTGGGAGAATGAAGCCAAGAGACCAAGTGGTCCCTCAGGGTACAGGGCTTGGGACATAATGGGGGTGTCTGCAGGGTGGACACAACACATCAATGTACAGCCCAGCAACTAGCCACCAGGTCCTTCCCGGGCTGCAGACATGGCACAGGCAGTCCTGGGAACATTGAATCCTTGAGCTCCACAAGTCTTGGGACAGGGAGCCTCATCTCACCCAGACTGGCCCTAACTCTGAGGAAGGCACACTACAAGTAGGGAGCTGGCAACTCAAACCACTTAGCTTTTTGCTAGCCCAAGACACATACATGAGACCTAGGCCCAAATGCTTTAAAAGCCAAGGTATGGACAGCTGCATGGGGTGAAGTTGGAGCCTGAGGATCTGAGCTCTGGGAAGCCCCAGGTAGCCCTGGCCCAGTTATTCTGATGCTGCCCCTGAACCAGACTGTGTGCAGGCACCTGCACAGGCATGCCCAAGTGCATCAGGTTTGAGGGAGGCTATAAGGAAGTGTGTGAGTATCTGGTGTGTGTGCACATGCATGCAGACACCTGTGGAAGAAGTGGGTGTCCTTGTATGAGGTGAGCTCAGTGTGTAAGGGGGAAAGATGAGGTCACATCACCCTGAGGACAAAGTGAAGCCACTTTCACCCCCTCCTGATGGCTAGCCCTTTCTAGCTGGAACAATCATTGACCTACATGTGCCTTAAACTACCTGCATCTCCAAAGGAACCAGAGGATAGAAGGAAGCCCCATATCACAGAGCGCCTACCACCCACCTCCTTGGCCACAATCTATGAGGACTATGCATGTTTTTAACTAGCAGCTGTCCTGCCCACTTGACATCTGCGAAGGTTTTTCCTTGTACTCATGGGCGGCTCTGCACGTCAGAGGAGTCCCAACTGTGATCTGGGGCCGTGTGCAGAACAGCCTCATTCACCAAACCCTCAGCCGCCACAGCACAGAAGAAAACACTGCTCAAGAGCTGGACTTCTAGGCCTTGGTCTTCCTGAAACAGCCCATCTGCCCAAGAGGGCACAGCTGCATTTGGGGCTCCCTGAGGGCATCGCCAAGACCACCAGGTCCCTAAATATTCCGGCTGGCTGAGATGGTAAGCATCCCGTTGCGGAAGGCACGCACCTAGGCTGGAGGACTACAGCGAAGACTTCTGAAGAAAGGGTTCAGGACCAGAGAACAAAATGCCTGAGGACCCTGCCAAGCTCGAGAGGCTACAACCCTCCCCTGTCTCTACAGCTCAAGCCAACAGCCTGACTGAATAAGCAAAGTCAAAGCATTTGCCTACAGACGGACTTGAAAGGGTCAGACCACTGTCCACCAGGTCAGCTGCATGCGCAGCGCATACGCATCACAACTTCCAGGACACGCATGAAAAATGCAGTCTTGGCTCTGTACAATGGCCCCTGGCCAACAGGAGCAACAGGGTCTGGAATCCAACTGTGCTCTGCTTGCCACACTCTGTGCCTGGGCACAGGGCAGCTATAAACCCCACTGTCATGAGCCAGTGGCCTGGCCCCTGTGTGACCTCCACAAGACAGTGCTGGCTTCCCTTTGTGCCAGCAGGAGGGGCCGTTCCACAGCTTTCTAGGTCGTTACAAGCCACTCACACTTTCAGAGGGCAGTGCCAGGGGCAGGGGCAGTCACCTGGGTCATCCCCAGCCCTGGGCTTGGCTGAGCAAGACAAAAAAGATGCCTTCCATGGTGCTGATGCTCACATCTAGAGTCATTCAGAAAAGGGGACATCCAGCTGAGAGGGAAGACTCAATCAGCAATGCCACCTCCAGAAATGCTAGGTCACAGCAGCTGCTCAACTGACAAAAGGTATTTCCAGTCATAGTGGCCTCACTGCCCAATGCCTTTAATGCCCTCATCCGTGCAGGGGGGAACGTTTTCCTGCCATAGGCTACATCCCACTGCTATGGACTTTGCACAGTATGCAGGAGGCAGGAGGCTGCTTTCCACAAAAATGTTACTTTCTCCTCCTCTGCCTCCACTTCTATTTCCTGATCGGGGAGGATGAGAGCCACAGGCTTCGGCAGCACTGATTACCAGGTAAGATTACAAGTAGAAAGGACTTAACCACTGGCCTTCAGAGAAAGATGGATGAGCACAAGGGCTAGGCTTCTGAAAAGAGGTTCCAGAAACCTCAGATATCCCCAAAGTACCTAGAGAGCCACCTACCACCTCACTCACCAGCAGGCATGTGCCCAGTACACAGAAGGAAAGGCGTGTGCACAGCTGGGGGGCGGCCACCGGGGAGAAGCCACCTGGGCCTGGCTGAGCAAGACCCAGCTAGGAGGGTCTACAAGAAATCCACCAAAATGGGGAGGCTCTGAGAGTGAGCACCATTCCCAGTAAAGCAGTGTTTCTATGAAAGCTGCAAGGGGACAAGGTGGACCACGATTACCTAGCAGTGACAAGCGTGTACCAGGTGGGTGTTCCTAGCTTGCATCAAGTACACAGCATCTCTCCTGGTGAATAACAAAGAATCCCCAGCCAACAGGAGCTGTTGCAGAGAACAAGGGCAGCAGTGATAGCTGTCTCCAGGAGGAGCAGAACCAAAAGCTCCCCCGGCTTCCTCGGCAGGCCCAGCTCCCTTCTCCGCCCCCACCCAGAAGGCCCTGCCTCCTCATCTCTACCAGCACCATTCCTAAGGCGTCTTCCTTCCTCACCGCCGCTTCCCCAGCCTGCCTCTTTCTGATGGGCACTGTTTTACGCTGTACTAAACGATAACCACACAAGGAGACAGTAATGGCTTTTTAATGACTTCAGCTCCAATTATGGAATAACTGCCAAGCCCAGGCTGCCAGCTTCGGCCCCGCCAGGAGACTCAGACGGGAGACAGGGCGCTGATGGATAGGTATTTCAGCTGACCCTGGAGGCTTCTCCATCACAGGCGCCTCCTGCTGGGGGCCTGAACAGGGAGGCTCAGGAAACCACTGGCTCATGAGGGTTGGAGAAACCCAGGCTTCAGTGTCCACCAATCCATCCGCTCTGTCCAGCACCAACAAGGGGGCAGCTACATCTCCCAGGGAGCCCACCACTCCACATCCCCTCACTTCCCCCAAGGCGCCCCACAGATGTCGAAGCAATAAACCACGATTGACAACAGGAGGCAGGGACAGAAGGGCAATGCTGTGCCCTGCAGAAGCACACACGGCCCACATCCTTAAGCCTGCTTCCTGCCCTCTGTTCGTAGACTCTACCTTACACGCTCCAGCTACTCCACCAGTGCTAACCAGAGGCCCAGGGGTCAGGGAATCCAGGGGCACACCCAGCCCTCCGGACATAATTTCCATGTCACTTTACCCTCCCCTCTTCCTGTCCTTGTTCTTTCCCCTCAGTCACAGTGGAAGCTACCCCTGCTGGACCCAGGAAATCAAAGACATGGGCTGTCAGGAGAGGAAAGGCCACCAGGACATCTGGCTGCAACCCTGTGCCCAATGCCAGACCCACGGCAAGTCCAGACCCGTGGCTTCTGTGGCCCAGCAGCTTAATGGGGCACAGTGAGAACCAGCGCGGCTACAGAAGGGAGAGGAGCACACTGCTCACAGGACTTCCAGCCATCCAGGATGGGCCATCCCCATTCTAGCCAGCAGTTCCCAAATTTACCAGGTGCATTAAAACTGCTGAAGGAACTAGACCCTGACTTGGCCGTTTGGAACTGCTGGGGAACAGGCCGCAGAATCAACCCACTCCTCCGCCTCTTTGTAAAACAAGTGCCATGGGTGATTCGTATGCTCACCCATGCAAATGTGACCATAAGCCACAGCTGGGGATCTCTAAAAAACAAAAAGACAATCAGGGAGTTGTTATGAGACTGTTGCCGGAAGGGAAGTGGTTGGTGCAACTGCCCAGGGCACCTCTGAGGCCAAACCCAGCAACAGAACTGAAGGAGTCAGGAGTCACATTACTCCCTAGAAAACAAAGTGAGGAAGTGGTGGGAGGATCCTAACAAGGGTCAGAAGGAGGGGGAGGGTGGAGACATGCTTAGGTTCAACCTAGGGAAGAACTTAGAAGTCACAGCCATCTGGTGGGAGGCCGTGTGACAGGGATGCCACCGGGAGCACCCACTTGGAGAACTAGATGGCCTGTAAGGGTCTTCCAGCCTGAAACTCTCCAGTGCTCCAGGAGGCCCCATGGTGATGGAGTACTGTATCCATCCCTCAGGTGTGCTTCCAACCCAGGTGTGGGGCTGGGAAAGCCAAGGAAGCCCGAGAGGCTATCTGGGGATGCCCTTCAATTCAAAGAAGTGGCCATCTTGTCTATGCTGGGAACACGACCAGGAACCAGATAAATTCCCTGCTCTCAATTAGTTCATGACCGAGTGAGAGAAACACCAGGCAATGGCCTCAGGACCATGAAGACAAGGGCACTGAGGACACGGCCACCTCAATCCCACCCAGCATGGTCCTCCAATGCCCTGTGGGCTTCAGTCCTTCTTGACTCTCACTGCTCCATCTACAACTTATAAAAGGTTGTAAATGGACGAAGGGCATTTAATATTCCTCAAGAACACAGGTCAAGAGAGACTGGAAGAAATAGAAATTCTTAGTACTAATAGAAAGAAACAAAAGGCAAAAAAAAGATTCCAGTTGCTAAGCTGTATAAATTCGATAGCTCCCTTTGAAGTCAGAATGTGAGATTAATCCATGATCATTATACACTGAGCCAAAATTACCCCTAAGAAGATTATCACCAACTATCATTTCTCTAAAGAAAATAAGCTGGGCCCAGGGAATGCAAGACATTACCATTAGAGAGGGAGTAAAACCCTCACCAGCAGAACCAGCAAGAAGCCAGACAACCCCTCTCCCCCAAACCAAATGCCACATTCCAGTTCTGACACACTGTGACATGAGGGAAGCCTCACACCAGTCAAAGCACGTGCGTGCCACCCCTGCCCCCACTCCCATCTGCAACTAAAATGCTTTGTCTGTCTTCTGCCCCAGTTTTCTCTGTGATCAGACAGCATGTGGCTTTGACTGCAATCAGCAGCCCAGTTAATGCAAGAGGCAATTTGAATCTCCTCCTCTCAGCCCAGGTCTCCCATTTTGGAAGTCTGCACCCCAAGTCCAGTGCTTTCTCACACTCAGTATGTGCCCTGAAAGACCCCAGCAGGGCAGGGGGGATCCTGGTAACTGTTGACATAGCCTGCCTCCAGCTAGACACCCGTCTTCTCTACAACAGAATGAGGAGGTGGGATGACAGGCATGGGGAGGGCAAGCCGCGCAGGGCTATGAGGGTGGCAAGCTGCTCCTCAGGGCCAGGCATCCAGGGAGGCAGGATTCTACGCTTCAGGGCTGAGTCTGCGGCCCAGGAAAGGAACTGGAGGTGTTGGGGTGGAGGGGAGACAGTAGTTGGACCTGGGCTGGGGCAAGTGCCAAATCACTCCTTGCAGGATGCCAGGGCCCTGGGCACTTGCTAGAACAGAGTCATTTCCTAGAGACAATTCTACCTTCCTGGGCCACCTTTCTCAGGAACAGGCTTCAGCCATTCTGTTTGAGGCAGATTTTCTCTAAGACCCCTGCACTGTCTCTGTAAGTTGCTTTAGTCCCTGGCTCCCTGGGAGAAGCTTCCTAGAACCATGTCTTGGCCTGGCCCAACCTTCAGTGTGCCAGATCCTAAACATGCCATCATCTCCACAGCCATAAGTGCTGCCCCTCCCACCCTCCTCAGTCCACAGCCACCACCCTGCCATCTGGACCCCCACACACAGGTACTTCCAGAGCACCAAATCTACTCAGCCCACAGGCACTACCCAGGCACTTCTGCTGTGTGGCTAGAAAAGGTTGATGATACTCTGTGGGGCTGCACTGTCTTCTAGAAGGTCCTCAGCCTACAGGTGCCAAGAAAGGCCAGCATCCTCCAGAAACTACCTGTGCCCCAGCCTGGACATCTGTCTAGGGCAGCAGCTCTTCTGAGTCAGCAGAGCCCCAGTTCCTGGTTCCATGATGGAAACAGCTCCCTGATCCATGAGAGACTGAAGTGTGACTACAGGTTTCTGCAGGAGACCCTGTAGGTGACTTGTGTGTGTGTGCACATGTGTGAGTGTGTTGCTGGTGATGGTGGGGAGAGACACAAAATAACCTGGGAACCCCTGAATCCCCCACAGGAGCTGAGATTAGAGGTAACAACAATGCTTAAGAGAAACCCTGAGTTCCCAGGCCTCGTGCCTGTTTTCAGAAGATCTGCTTTTAACAAGCCTTGGGCGGTTTCAGCTGGTTTCCATTTGGGACGCTGTCTGGATAGACTCAGAGAAGAGCCCTGTCAGAACTATTTTCTGTCAGTGACTGGTATGAGGCTCTAACAGAGAGCAGGCTGTGTTACAAGGCAGGTCCTGAGGATCTGATCCTGCCGTCCGCTAGCACGCGCACCTGGGTCAGCAATAACACAGGGGGTCTTAGCAGTCCAGCACCCTTTTTACACACAAGTCTCTCTAGGAGGCCTAGAGACAGCCCCGTAGCCCCTGGCAACCAAGGAGCCAATGGGTGGCCAAGAATCTGGCGCTGCCATGGTAATGAGCTCCTTTTCTTGGTAATAGAGAGAATGGAGTAGAGTGGATGGGGAAAGACCTGCACCTGTGAGAGTCCCGAGACCACCTCCCCGTTCCCTTCCCACGCAAGTGGAAACACCTTGCCATCGTTGAGATAGACCACAGGGCCTGGCAGCAGAGGGTGGTCGGCTTCCCTGAGTGTGCCTGGATTCTTGAGTGCTTTTGGGCATGTGAGGGCAGTTCTATGTACTGTAAGCTGGTGTGTGTCCAGGTATAGACCTGCTAGCAAGTAGATTACTTGATCTCTGAAAGAGAATGAGTAGCACTTGTGAGGGAGTAGCAGGTGTCAGTTATTCTCCAGATACAGGATGTGGACGTGCACTGATACACAGGTATATGCCCGTGTGAGCCCAAGAATTCTTGTGTGTTGAATATATGGTTGCATGTGCACATGACCACTAGTGTGCTCTTGGTTCAGAATAACTGTCTTCACGGATCCATGCTTTGAGAGTGTGAACCAACCAGCAGGAGCGTCTTTGGCCCAAGCCACGGACGTCCTGTGGGTGCATGCGTGCAGATGTATGAGTGTGTGCGCGCACCCTGCACAGCGTGTGACTGGGGTGCGGGGCCTAGGAGGGGGCTTGGAGCAGCGTGCGCTCCCTCCCCAGGCGGCCACATGGTGCTCCCTGACCCCAGTCCCCTTCCAGCAACCCTGGCGGATAAGCGGGTGGAGCGGAGCAGGCGGGATCAGCCCGCAGGGGCCCTCAAAGTTGAGGGAGGAAAGACCAGCGACTCCAACCCGCGCCCCAGTGCTTGGACAGGTGGGGAGGGCAGCAGTGCCCTGCATCCCGGCCGCGTATCCCCCGCCAGTTTACGTCCCGAGTCAGGGGTGGTGGGCGCCCCGGCCCGGCGCCCGCATACCTGTAGGGAATCCAGTCGGAATGCGGTTTGGAAGTCATTTCTCTCGGGGGCGGGGCGACGGCTGCGGCTTTGGAGGCCGGGGCCCGGTAGGGCCGGCGCGGGGGCCCTGCTCAGCTCCCGGGCCGCCCCGGGCCGCATCCTCCCGGGCCGGGGCGCTGGGCCCCGCCGAGGCCCGCGCTGCACGCCAGGGCCCCGGTTGCTGGCTCTGCGAGCGGCTGCCTGCGCGGCGCGGCGTGGCGCGATGGGCGAAGCAGCGGGAGTGCGCGGGGCGTGCGCGCGCGTGGAGGCGGGGAGGCCGCCCGCACCGTCCCGCGCCCCTCTGGCGCCGAGGCGGGAGCACTGCGTGGCAGCGGCCGCCCGCCCCTTCTCCCTCGCCCCGCCCCGCCCCGCGGAGACCCCACCCCCGGCCGGCTCTGGGCCTACGGAGCGCCTTTGCCCCCTCGCCCGAAATCGCCGCGATCCCTGCTCCAATCGCGCGCCGGCGCCCACCTTCGGCTAACAGCGGCGCTGCCGCCGGGCCAGTCCCCAGGCTTCCCAGCCTCAGTCTCGTCCTCAGTGAAAAGAGGATCACTCGAACACCTCCCTACATACCTGACCTACCTGTCGCCGCTATGGGATGGGAAACCGCTGCGCGCATTTAGCGGGGACAGGGACCGCGCCGGGGGCGCGGATGGAGGAGGAATCTAGTTGTGCAGGAAGAGGTGGGGGAACCTCCGGGCCGAAGCGTGGAGGCTGTCCTTCCCTCACCTCCAAGTTCCCACACCCCAGCCTGGGGAACCCTCTCTGTCTTTGGGTTAAGTAAAGGAGGTATTTCCTCAGCTGTGGCTCCCTCCCATCTAAGCTATAGCGTCAAGGGAAGGGGAGCATTTACTGTTTACCGCATTCCCCGCCCTTGCAAATTTCTAATGTTTAATCTTCACAATATCCTTGAGAGACAAAACATCTTATCCGCATAACCCAGAGAATAGGAATGCTGAGATGCCCAAGGCCATAAAGCTGGGCAGTGGTTGAGCTGAAATTGTTCTGTGATCTGTGTCCTCCAAAGCCCTTCCTAGGGGGTGCAGCTAACAGGAGGCAAAAACCTCTACAAAGATCCTCTGAAAGTCTCTGTGCACTGAGGAAGTCCTGGCTGTGACCAGCTTGAATGCAAGGCATGGCACACTGAGAAGGCAGAGGACCCACAGTAGGGCGGGTGGAAGCAAGGAGCAGCAGGCTGAGGAGTCACCAGGGCCTGCGTGTGGAGCAGGTGATCAGAGAGAGGTCTGCGGTGGGGCACGGTCCTCACATGCTCATGGGCGTCCTCATGTGCCTCCTGGATTCTGCCGCACCAGCTGCGCCGGGAGAGTGTTGTGCGGGGATCTTCTGATGATAGGCCATCAGGACTGCCCCGCAGAGAGTGTGAAAACAGCCAAGTGGGCTGAGGGAGGGGGCTCATCCTGCTGCCCTGGGGCCACAGCCAGACCCCCACCGCAGGACTCTCCGAGCCCTTCAGCCTTGCCGTCTCTTGTCCATTAATTATAAACACAATAACCACAATATGTGGAATATTCGGTGAGTGTCGGAGGCTGTGTCAGGTGCTATGTATGTAACTCGTTTAATCTTCACAGCCACCCTAGAAGGTAGGCACCATTATCATACCCACTTTACAGCAGAGGAAACTGAGTCACAGAGAGGGCAAGGATCTTGCTCAAAGTCACACAGCTGATCAATGATGAAGTTAGCATTCACACACAAATGGTCTGGGTCTACAGTCCTTACCCTCAGCCTCCTTTCTGCCTATCACAGTTCATGAAGTGTACACACACACACCCCTAAACACATGCGTGCACGCACACACACACACACACACAACCTCTCTCTCCAGGCTTCTGGAGCTCAGGACAGGTCAGATCCATCTCTGTCTGGCACAGCATTGATGCCCTCTGAACACTCTGACCTCTGGTTATTTATCAACCTCCAAGAGCCATCACTGTCACTGGGACAGAGAGCAGACAAAATGAAACACCTAGGAGTGAGGTACAGGAGGCAGAAAACAGGGCTGTTTTGTTGCCTGCTAGGATGCTTGGCTTGGACTCTGTTGGCCTCCCAAGAAAAGCAGCAGAGATTGGTCCCTACCCTGGAGGCCACAGCAGAGCAACAATGCATTGCCCCAGAGACCTCCGTCCTTCAGGACAGAACCTTGCCTAGAGGCCAGAAGCTTTGACCCCTGGAGGCCCCACCCTCCAGGCCACCCCTTCCTGAGTTGAAGTTAGTAGCTAGGTGTCAGACACAATGAGGATCTAAAAGATTTTTCCCTTCAAGAATCTGAAGCTGTTTTCCTCCCTTTATTTCCAAATTACCTGACATCTTAAAGCAATCAGAATTAAGTTGGAAGGTCTCAGGAGCCTGGAGTAATTGAATCTATTAAATAGACACTTTAGGCTCTGCCCTAAGGGAGCAAAATCTGGAGGCAGAGTGAGGTACAGAAATAAGATGGTTTTCCAAGTCTCTTTCTGCAGAAGTTATGTATACACATGGGATGTGGGACAACCGTAGGATTGAGTGCCAGTGTATGCATAAGTGTGTGTGTACATGTGAGGGTGTGTGCATGGCATGTGAGGGGGCCAGTGGGACTGAGTGCCGGTATATACAGTATGTGTGAGTGTGTATGTGTGCGCGTGTGCATGTGTGTGTGTGCATGGGATATGGGGGAGCCAGTGGGACTGAGTGCCGGTATATACAGTATGTGTGAGTGTGTATGTATGCATGTGTGCATGTGTGTGTGTATGGGATATGGGGGAGCCAGTGGGACTGAGTGCTGGTATATACAGGATGTGTGAGTGTGTATGTGTGCGCGTGTGTATGTATGTGCATGGGATACGGGGGAGCCAGTGGGACTGAGTGCCGGTGTACACATGAATATGAGTGTGTATGTGTGTTCATGTGTGTATACACATGGGATGTATAAGAGTCAGTGGGACTCTGTGCCAGTGTATGCATGAGCGTGGGCGTGCGCACAGGAAGCGGTGGGGGGGGGCAGTAGGACTGTGTCAGTGTATGCAGAAGTGTGTGTATGTGTATGAGATGGCCCTGCAGTCTGAACAAGACTGCACAAGAAGATATGTTGGATGGTGTGCGTGCAAAGGAATGATCTGTGTGCTTCTTTGAGATCTGTGGAGTGCATGAGCGTTCACAGTCAACTCAGAATGCATGATGGGTTTTTCCACTCAAATGGCTTCCGTGGTTGACATTTTAAGTTTATGCCCTTGGCTTCCATCAAAAAGCTGCTCCAGAAAGTCATATGATGAATATTATACTAGGCCATGGTAAACATTAGATTTTTACATCTGAACTGTAACAGTGACCCTTGAAGAAGGGCATAAGCTTTTCAAATGTAGCCCCAGGAACAAGATTATCTTGACTGAAACGCCACCACACAGCAATCCCAACATGCCTCTCTCACCACCTGCCCAAATCCTGCAAGGGTAAGATACCTGCTATGAATTTAAATCATCCTGTTTGCGTTTTAGGCATTTTCAAACATGGTGATGGTTTGTGAGGGGGAGTGAAGGAATGCATGGAGACTCAAGTGGCAACAGAGGCCCTCATATCTGCCACCTGAGCCTGAGGACCCCAGGGCCACCCGCCCCCCCCCCAGCAGGATCAGTTCACCCAGGGAAGAAGGTTAGCATTTTGGCACTTAGCCACCTACGTGGGGTCTTACATGTGCTATAGTTAATGTGATGGTTTTATTGAGTGTGGGCCTCCTCTAGTCAACTGTGGAAGCAAAAGGATATGAATGATAAATGATATCCAATCAGATTGGGCCCTGCATGGTGGCCTGGCATTGTGACCTTGCAGTCTGAGGAAGGTAATTCAAATCAATCAAACATCAGCTAGTCCCTCAAAGGCTGATGCAGGGCTGCAGTGCCCTTGGTGGGGTCAGGTGCATGGCTGCTCTCAGGGAGCTTTCAGCAGGGGAGATAGGAGGAAATAATGACTGTACCCCGCATTAAGGCGTTGGTGTTACAACATGGGTGTACAATGTGCTGGGGGTGAGGGGGCGCCGAAAAGAGGCAGTCAATGGAAGTCCCTGGAAGCGGGGAGGTCAGGTTAGGACAAGCCTTCCCAAGAGTAGAAAAGGATGATGGTTATATTGAGCCCTGAAAGATGAATAGGATTTTGATAGGCTGATAACAAAGGAAGGGGGAAATTTAAGTTACTGCAATTCTACAATTGACCAGGCACTGTGCTAGGGTCTTTTACCAAAGGGCATTACAGATAGAGACAATGACATGAGCACAGTTATGGAGACATGAGAGTACATGCCCAATGCACTTGAAAGCCAGGGTGCAAACCAGCATTGGCACCATGTAGGTGAAGGGTTCGGTGTGGCAGCAAATGGGCTTAGAAAGTTAAAGCAGGGCCAGATTATATGTCATCCTGAACATCAAGCTAGGGAGTCTACAATTATCCTATAGTTTGGAAATTTCCTATAGGCTGTTCTCAGGATGTGGTTCCCAATGGGGGACCCCTAGAGGGTTTTAAGCCAAGAATAATCTGCCCAGATGTAACCTTTAGAAAGAAACAATTGGGAGCAGAGTGAGGATTAAGGAAGGGAGACAAGGCTAGCGGCATGGAATACTGCTAGACAGCTATGAGTAAAGTCCAGGACAAAGATAAGCTGGCCCCAAAACAGAGTTAAGTCCCATTTTGAAGCTGTGGGTAGACATCATGACAAGATGGTAGCGTAAGTATGGGTGGCCAGATAAAGCCCTCTGTAATTCCCATTTAAATAACTGCAGCATATACAAAGACCCTTGCACCACTGTTGATGACTGAGATAAATAGGCTTACGATGTCTTTGAGAAAAATGTAGGTCAACCACTAGTAAAATTAAAAACAATATGTCTATTTTCCAAATCACTGCTGAAAATAATAGCAAATAATTTCCACGCCGACACACAAGCATAATCTACAGGAAACATAAAATGCATGGTGCATAAAACAAAGTAATAGGAATAAAACCAGATAGAATGGTTATGAGGGGAATGTAACCAGACAGCCCGTGAGCCTGGGTCACACACAGCTATCATTTGCTTAGTGCTCGCTCTATGCCAGGCCCTCCTCTGTGTGTTTCATAAAGACAAATATGGCAATGGGGGGATGAGATGGGATGCTTCTGGTCCAGGCTCCACTTGGGGCATCAAATGAACAGATACCACATTCCAAAGTGAAGTGGGATACACCTCTTGGAAAAGAGGTGGTGAAAACCTAAGTCTGTGCTGTTAGCTGACACCCATCTCTAATACATACAAAATAGGAGAGAGGCTGAGAAAAGAGTTGTTGAAGGTTTAGAATGAATTTCAGAGA